CTACCCAATGAGGTTATGGGCGAGTGTGGACCAATTGGCCCAAAGTGGAAGGAGAGTTGGATTGGGGATGAACAAACATGGCCGTGACATTTTTTAATATGAAACTTATATCAAAATAAGACTTCTTATGTTTTCATGCTCTAAATATGAGTATTGACACTATGAACTTATTATTTAGCATCGTATGTTTGAATTCATTCACGATATTTCTTGTAATATGTCGTGGATTTGTAATGACATTATAAGTCTTATTTTGATATAAAAACATCGAAAGTTTTACTCTGTATTTTACTACACCATATATCAATCCCCAAAAAATTGGCCTGGTTATTATTTTGGGCTTCTGATAATTTTTGTTTGCGTATGCTTTTTCATCGTACATTTGATAATATAAAGCCCTTGTTTGGAAACATCGTTTTTAATTAACGTTAGAATTTTGGATAAAATTTTAAAGATGCAGATTAATTCTGAAAACGCTAACGCTAAATGTCACCGTCAGATAGTTTTTTCAAATCACTAACGCTAATCTCTAACGGTGATGTCAAAAGAGGCCAAAATATTCTTGTCATACACGTTTTGTAAAATTTTTAGTATAATTTTTAATATGTAATTTGACTTTTTTTCTTTATAAATTTGTTAATACCATCAATTTCAAAGAGACAATATTTTATGCATTGTTTTAAAAAGACAATATTTAGGGACGGAGGAAAAATCTGGATTACGTTTTAGTCTTAATTTATTATTTCTTCTTTCTTACTCCCTCTGTCCCCCAGTTTTTGTCCACTTTTGACTTTTGAAACTGTTCATCAAAGCACTTTGACTCGTCAAATTCTCTCAATGTGTAAGCCTAAATATAGTCATGTGTGATCTTGTTTGATTTGTCTTAACATATAGATTATTAATATATAATTTCTATAATTTTTTAATATACAAATTACAAAATAAAATAGATTAAAGAAGTGCATTGGATGATGTGTAAAATTGAAAGTGGACAAAAACTGGGGGATGGAGGGAGTACAATATTTCACCCGTATTCAAGACACGAAGTACATTTATGCAAAACATAAAATATTCCAATGGATAAATAGAAATCGCCCTAAATAGGACTAAAACATAGAAAAAAGTATCAAAATAGAACTCTCATATTTTTTCCCCCAAAATAAGACTTTGCACTGTGGTAATGTAGCACTGTACATGTGCACATTACTACTCCCTCCGTTTCTTAAAACTATTCCTATTTTGACTTTGAGCCAAAATAAGGAAAGTATAATTTTGGTTGACTTTCGAATTTTGCCCCTGATGTGATGGTTAAAAATAAGATGTGATGGTTTTGTTATTAGTGAAAAAATATAATGTGATAGGTAAGGTATTAAAAGGTAGGGGTAAAAATAGTTTTTTAATAGAAAGTTGAAGTGTTTTAAGGAATTGAAAAAAAATGAAAGAGGAAAGGTTTTATGGAACGTAGGGAGTATATTTTTTGGTAATGTACATGACCATATTTGATAATGTAAGTCCTATTTCGGGAATAAAAACATGGAAGTCCTTTTTTGGTATACTTTCAATGTTTTAATCCTATTTTGGTCTTTCTCCCATGGATAAATTTGGGGGAATCGCAATTTTAACATAAACTCTTTCCATTTAAAAATAATCATCTCAGCTATTATTTTAGTATCCCAATAATTTTTAATTATTTTTTTGTTTTCATTCATTATTAGATCAAATAAAATATTCTTATCACATTCCGTTTTATAAAATTTTTGATGAGGTATTTTTTTGGATAACTTTTCATATAGCCTTAAAATAAAAATTTTATATTTTTTATTTTTATACTAATTTATAAATAAAATAATATTAAAATAGATGAAATTTTTACACTTCTTGAGTGAGACAATTATTTTAGGACAGATCGAATTAGTACTCAAATTTTGGGAAATTGTGACAAGTGTATCACTTTTAGTGGAAGTAGTTCAATATGACGGTGCAAAATACACGTACTATTTCAATTGAAGGTGAGCAAGTATTATACCGATCCCGATCTAATTTTTCTGAGCAAATACTGAGTCAATTAAAGGTGAGCAAGTGTAAGTCATGTTTACGTTGAAACGACTAAACCGGTAAAATTAATCACTTGCTTTAAACATCGAGATCTACTTTCTAGCCTAAAAGCTTAAACTGATAGGTAGAATTTCATCTTCTCTACTCTTTAATTTGTACTTAATTAAATGGTAATGGAGATAGAATGAACTTGATGTTTTGTTTAAGAAAAAAACTTAAACCAATGAAATGAAACGTAAGAGAAGAGGGTGAGATAGTGAATGAATTAATGGTTTTTATTACTACATGCTATGTATGTCGTTTTGGATAAACATGATCCAAATCAAATTAAAATCCTGATTTAATTTCTCTTTTCGGTGTATTCTTTAAATCGGCATTAAAAACCCCGTAGGTTGGACTTTGGAGTATAAGACTTCTTTTATTGGATTCTACTAAACTAATGAGTGACCGCATTCTTTCTTCGCACAGACATATACAAACGATAATCGTCAATATGTCACAAAGACGATTATCTTAAGCATCTTGTTACCATTACTCTTGTCTTTTCCCTTTTTTATTAAATGATTTTTTTTATGAAATGCATTGTTGTTCCTAAAAGAGTGGGTGGAGAGAGTGGGAGCCCACTCAACTGGCGCGCTTCCTCACCGGAAAACACTGTGAATTCCGTTACCGTTTCATAAATATCGGAGTGTTCGTTAAATTAAACCCCGTCCCGTCCCCACATTAATACGGCCGGGAGCAATCGATCGCATTTATAATCGCCTCTCTGCCGCCGTCGCCGCCGGCGATCCATCATGTCGCCGTCGTCAAGTCCCGATCGGCCGTTTCTTTTCAAGGTATTTTACTCCCTCCATCCTATAATGATCTTCCCAGAGCACTATTCCAACTTCACGGGAATTTGTATTTATTTGTGTTTTTTCATGGCCTATATGATAAAATAAAATATTCTTATCACCACTTGTTTTGTTGAATTTTGATGTAGTTTTTAAATATGTATGTTTTATTTTTTATTTCTATACCAATATTTAAATAAAATAGATTGAAAAAACTTGAGATTTTTCTTCATTTTGCGAACCGGGAAGATCATTATAAGAAGGGAGAGAGTATTAACATTTGGTTTCTTTTTCTTTGGTGTTCGTTTCTTAGAACACCATATCGCAATGTATGGTGTAAATGATATTTTTTTATCTCAATTAAACTAAATTCATATACTCCGTATTCACTAAATTGTAAGATTAACAAAAAATTTTAAAAAAAATTATTTTAAATAGATTTAGGATCAAAATTAGTTCCAAAGTTAAAATTAACCTCTGGGTACAATGGAAGGGGGTGGGTGGCGAGGGGGTGTTTGGGTCGGGGCGTGGTGGGATAGGAAGATTTTACAACTTAGGTAATACAAAGAGGAAAGAAAGATTTTGTGAGACAAGAAAAAAAGAGGAGAAGAAATTTTTGAGACTCGAAGGAGTAATATGGTAGATATGATATGTGCAGAATAGAAAATTAGAAAATAATACAAAATTTACCCATTTTAATAGCCTGTCATTTTTTTTGAACACTAATAATAACTCTATTTCAAAGTAGTATTAGTTCATATGCTCTCAACCTATACATTGAAGTCCAAAGAGTTATTGCTCCGGTTGGCGTTTGAACACATAACCTCTAATCTCATTTGGTAGAGTCATAGTGGTGCAAGTAGACTACTACAGGATGATTGGCCAAGCCTCTTTTTTTCAATACATAAATGTTTTGTGGGATGAATGAAGTAAATGAACACATGTTTTAAAAATAAGAAATCACCATAAATATGAATAAAACATAGTCCCTCTGTTTTTTCAAAACAAATCTTTCATTTTTTTCTTTATCCAAAACACTTGCACTTTCTATTAAAAAACCACTTTTTCTCCTACTCTTTCTAACCTTACCTATTACATCACATTTTTTCACTAATAATCAACCATCACAACTTATTTTTATTCCTAGTATCAATGACAAAAATGGAAAGTCAACTCCAAATAACTTTCTTATTTTTGTCCAAAATTCAATATAGGAATTGCATATGGAAACGGAGGAAGTAATATATAAAAAATATCAAAATAGAAACTCCATGTTTTTATCTTGAAAATATGAGTTTGCACTGTAATAATGCGGCACAGTGTATAGACGATGTTTCACAATATTTTTTTGATATTACATATTAACATTATATTGTATATGCATTATAATTCTTATTTTGAAAATAGAAATATGAAACTTATATGCAGTATTTGGATATATTTTGTACTCCCTCCGTTTCCAAAAACACTTCCTCTTTCATTTTTTTTACTTCTAACAAAACACTTCCTTTTTTTATTAAAAAACTACTTTTACCCTTACTTTTTCATACTTTACCTATCACATCATACTTTTTCTCTAATAATAAACTCATCACATCTTATTTTTATCCATCACATCAGGGGCAAAATTGGAAATCAACTACTCCGTATAATTTTACACTTCCTTATTTTGCCTTATAATCAAAGTGGGAGGCTTTTTCCAAACGGGGATAATGTTTTAAAGAAAGGGAATGAATTGATTCTTTAGGAATGTCGTGTGATTGGGACAATGTGATATGGACCACAATTTCTTGCCGTCACTCCTCCGACCTCTACATATGGTTTTGCAACTGTGGTGCCTTTCTATTCATAACAACAACGACAACAACAACAAAAGATTGCACAAAACAACCTATTAAAACAAAAAAGATGAAGAGATATTTTTTACATGAATGAAGATAAAACAAATTCAAATTTTAATTGATCAATAGAGAGTGAGATCGCTCGTGGACATTATCCAACGCATAAACGCCGACACTGTCATTCCCGACCCGGCAACGATGCCTTTTTACAACTCTTCTTGACCAGTTGAGTTACGCCCGGGACACAGCATGTTAATTAGTTACTTGGAAGCTAAGAAGACAATATTTAGTAGTGGTGGTGTTAAGGATATGATGAAATTAATCTTTTCCTTGCACGTATGCACAAATAAATTGAATTAATATTTTATTCCCATCCACATTATATATAATTATTGTATGAGTTTTGGGTGCAGAAAATGGTGTTTGCCTCTTGCTGCCTCATCACCACTCTATCCTTCCAATCCACTGCAAGACATCGAAGTTATAATAACAATTGCTTGCAAGATTATTCATCAATGGGGAACTGCTTCAATATTTCTTCTTCTTCTGCAACTTCTGTTTCCCATTCATTCTCTAATAAGAACATCGCCATGTCGCTACCGGTTGACAATGCCTTTCGCCTCCCTTCTCCTCCTTTGCCCGCCTGGCCTCCAGGTTCACATTGTCTCACTATATTTATCCAGTTTGACTTTTTGCATTGATGATTAAAGTTCGTCCAACAGTTTGACACTTTGACAGTATTGAACACAAGGTAATATGTTGCAGGTGGGGGATTTGCAAGTGGAGTTATTGATCTTGGAGGACTATTAGTTTCTCAAGTTTCATCTTTCACTAAGGTTTGGGCTACCACCCAAGGCGGGCCGGGCGATACCGGCTTCACCTTCTTCGAGCCTTCATCGGTACCCGACGGTTTCTATGTGCTCGGATCCTATGCCCAGCCCAACAATGTCCCTCTCTTCGGACGTGTTCTTGTTGGGAAAGACGTCTCTGGAGGTGCTTTAAGGACTCCCACAGACTATACCCTCGTGTGGCACGTCGAGGGTAGTCCTCAGAGTCCTTTTCCCTGCTACGTTTGGCTCCCAGTTTGTACCCAAGGGTACGAACCTGTGGGTTATCTGGTCACAACCACTCCCGAGAAGCCTTCTGCGGATGGAATCAGGTGCGTTCGTTCTGAACTCACTGATGTGTCGGAGGCGAACGTGTGGATTTGGGGTGGTGATGGGGTGAATATATACACTTCTAGACCGCAAGTCCGGGGGATGGAAGCCCACGGAATGGCGACGGGTTCGTTCGTCCTCCATTCCAACTCCTCATCGTCTTCCACGCCAGCATGCTTGAGAAACACAAACAAGAACTTCTCGTCAACGATGCCAAACATGGCCCAAATTCGGGCGTTGATGGGCTCATACTCTCCGACATTCCACTTCCACCCAGACGAGGAGTTCTTCCCCTCGTCCGTGGGATGGTTTTTCGAAAATGGGGCGTTACTGTACGCCAAAGGGAACGAGTCGAGCCCGGTCCGAGTCGACCCGAACGGGGAAAACCTCCCTCGGGGCGGCTCGAACGACGGCGCTTACTGGTTGGACCTCCCGACCAGTAACGCCGAGGACGTGAAAAAAGGAAACTTGCCGAACGCAACAGCGTATCTACACGTGAAGCCCGCACACGGCGGGGCCTCCACCGACATAGCAGTGTGGGTTTTCTACCCCTTCAACGGGGCCGCCGCCGCGAAGGTCGAGTTCCTAACGGTGAAACTCGGGAAGATCGGAGAGCACGTCGGGGACTGGGAACACGTGACCCTTCGGATCAGCAACTTCGACGGCGCCCTAACGGACGTCTACTTCTCGCAGCACAGCGGCGGCGTTTGGGCGAGCGCCGCTCAGGTCGAGTTCCAAGACGGAACTAACAAACCGACCGTGTACTCGTCCAAACACGGCCATGCGGCGTACCCGAAACCCGGGGAGAACATGCAGGGGAGCGGGGACGTAGGGATAAGGAACGACACCGCGAGAGGCGGGTCGTTTATCGACACGGGGTCGGACTTCTCGGTGGTCGCGGCGGAGTATCTCGGAGGCGTGGAGGAGCCGCCGTGGTTGGATTACGCGAGGGAGTGGGGGCCGAAGTTAAGCTACGAGATAGAGAGGGAGATGAAGAAGTTGGAGAGGTTTTTGCCGGGAAAGATGAAATCTGAATTGGAGAAAATTGCGAGGGAAATTCCGAGTGAGGTTTTGGGGGAGGAAGGACCGGTGGGGCCTAAGTGGAAAGATAATTGGAGTGGGGATGAAAGGTCTTCTTGATATTCAATAATTTTAGGGTAATTTATGAAATATTTGCACTAAATAGCACTAAGACTTAAGTCATTTCTCTAAATAGCACTTAGATTGTTTTCTTCTTTAAATAGCACTCTGTAATGTCCATAATGACTAGTTATGGGAAACATTCACTTGAATAATGACTAATGGATAATGACTAAAAGTGCTACATTGAGAAAAAATATATATGTTGTGCTATTTAGAGAAAGTCATTATGTTTTAGTGCTATTTAGGTAAATTCCCCTAGATTTATTGCATGGTGACACTTATGTTTCTCCCACAAAATTATCGTACTAGAAAATGTAATTAATTCTTTGAAATTGAACTAAAAAATAAAAAATAAAATGGTGAAGTTTTAAATTTTCTCGCTCTATGTGTCTGTTTATTAACAGTTTCAATATTTAGTTTTAAATGTTAGCATTTTCAAAGTTAATTTGTACTTTTGCAAAGAAATTCAAAACGTTAATGGCAATTGAAAACTTTGTAGAAAAAACAGACCGTATGATTTTTCTGTGTGACGTGTGTGTGATCCTGACCTTGTAAGTACTACCTCCGTCTTGAAATATTCTTCTCATTTGATTTTTCACGACCTCTAATATGGTACTTTGATTAATAATATCTATATTAATACATACATATATTTTATAAAATTTAATATTTCAAAATTATGTCTCATGAGGAATATATTGATATTAAATTTATATCGTAATACAATATATTTTTTATACTAATCTAAGTCAAAGTTTATAAACTTTGACCAAGAAAAGTCAAACGTGAAGAACATTTTCGGACAGATGGGGTAGTAAGTAGTATTATACGAAGCATTAATGTATTTTGACATTTAACTTTTACGGTATTTAACAAAAAGGTGATTTGAATGTTACTTTCTCATTTTATCCTTATTTCATGGGAGAGTAGAATAGAATGAAATATAACAACACCATGACCCTAGTGCCTCAAAGGCTCTTGGCCATTGCGGTATGAGGGAGTCGGATAAACACAACTCGACCCTTATGTTAAAGCATAAAGTTGACTCATGACGATCATAAGTTGCATTGAGTAACTGTTACTTCATTATCTAAAGAAGCACATATAATTTAAAGGGCATTTTGTTTTATTTCATCTTACTTTAAAGCTAAATAAAAGTACCTATTTCACTTCATCTGAAAAATAGAAATAGCAAGATAGAATAAAATAATAATGAATAATATGATCTCACAGAGACATTAATAATTACAGAGTAATACAGATAAATGCCTGATTTTGGTCTCATTTGGTTAATGGCTTTCGGCAATTCGGCCAAATCTTGGCGGTTGGAATGAGTATGGCTTTTTTATTGGGATAAAAGGTTATTTTTAGTGTTTGGGTATGAACTGCTTACAATGGGCCTTTAGGTTAGTTTGGTTGGAGGGGATTCTCTCCCCTTGTTTGGTTTAAAAATATGGACGGGGAAATTCATATTTTTAGCTTCAATTTCCTCCCTTTCTCTCCAAACCAATCCTTCCAAATTGGACAGAATCTCATTCCCTTTTGTCCTTCTTCGGACAATTTTTTTCACCTTGTCAATAAAAAATAATATACAATAAAATAGAACAAAATGATCAAATTAAAATAAATAAATAAATAATAGTAATAATTAATAAATAATTCCAAAACAAATAAATAAATAATTGGAAAATAAAATATATCATTATTAAATATCGTGGATAAAAAATTTATTTAACACTTCCTAATTTTTACACAAAGTCAAAATAAGAACAATTTTATAGAACGGACGGAGTATAAAATAAAAAGTAAAAATTTATAATAATTATAATAATAAATAATTATAATAATAAAATAACTCAATCAAATCATAATGAAAAATCATATTACTACCTCCCGCTATATTTGTCCACTTTTGATTTTTGGAACTGTTCATCTGAACACATTGACTCATCAAATTCTCTCAATGTGTAAGCCTAAATATAGTCATGTGTGATCTTGTTTGATTTGTCTTAACATATAGATTATTAATATATAATTTCTATAATTTTTTAATATACAAATTACAAGATAAAATGGATTAAACAAGTGCATTGGATGATGTGCAAAAATGAAAGTGGACAAATACTCTGGGACGGAGGGAGTAATAAATAATAAACAAAATAATATACATACATTATACATACGTGTATGAGGGAGTATTTTCTATTCACGTCCAAATAAAGCATTACTATGAAACATCTCAAAAAGGAAAAAACATAAAGAAGTGAACTTTTTATAAAAAAGAGAATATTCACATGCAGACTTTTGAAAAAATATAAGAAACTTCATATTTTTTAATGTAGATCTTGAAAACATGTAAGCATCACTCAAAAAAGTGAACATCAGCGGACGCTCTCATACTCTAACCCAACATGATAGCGAGAAGTAAAATTTACAATACATAGATCAGATGCAAAGTCTTCTATGGTCATCATTAGGTAAGTCTACATTCATTTTATAAATCTTAACATATAAAATCATAAAAGAATTTGAGTTTTTGAAAAAAAATAGATCTGCATGTAACCTAATGAAAAGTTTGAGAAAGTCTATATATCACATATGGACTTTAGGTCTACAAAAGCATAACTCTACATCACACTTCATAATTTTAGTCTCTTACTCAAAGAACCGTTTCGTGTTTGATGTACACAAAGAACCATTGAGACGAAACATCTACACTACCGCAATTGAGACTCGAACCTAGGTAAAACGTTTAGACTTAATTTAATTTCCTCCCATGACCAACTATGCTACCCGTGTGAACAAAATAATTCAATTTGATTTGTTTCACTTCTATATATGCATGGATTACAGTTAAAGGAATTGGTCTCTATGTACAGGCTGGCTTTTTGCCATATTAGTAGCTTCTTAATTAAGATCTAACTCGTGACCTCTTCTCCTTGATCCTCTCCCCTATCTCCTCCAAGACACTTAAAGTGTAAAAAATATACTTTCTCGTCCTAAAATGTTTGTCACATTTCGTAAAATGTTGTAAAATAAAAATAAAAAGCAAAATTTACATATTAAATGCTACATAAAAATTCTTTGAAATAAGAGGTGTCAGTATATTTTATTTTATCAAATAATCAATGAAAACGTACAAATAAACAAACGTTTTCGTGATGGTCAAAAGAGGAAGCGTGACATTTTTTTTTGGGACGAGGGAGGTATAATTCTCTGCATATATATACCAATCTCAACACCCAAAAGTAATTCAATATAAATAAGTAGAAAGAGAAATTTAATTTAATACTATACGTGTGGTATTATATATATTTAATTTTTGCATTGATTTAATTACTCCGTATAATAATATTAATATAATTCGTACGGTCCCATAACTACTTAATTAATTTCTACTGCGTAATTAATTAACCAGGGCCGTCGTGGTGGCACGTCCGGTTTTCGATCAGGACATTATTGGATCATGGAGGTTCATCGCGGTGGCGGCGCCGCCGCGGAGGTTTGCCGGAAGCTTCACATAATCTATTTTCTCAGCCGGAAAGCCCGCACCGAACACCCGCATCTCTTCTCCGTCCACACCTACTGCCGCCACGGTGTCCGCCTCAGAGGTTTTTTAATTTAATTGCTCATCCGTAACTATATTCTTTTTCTTTATTTTTTTGGAAACCTTTTTCTTTATTTATTTTAATTGATCCATAAAATAAAATAATCTTATCCATTATTAGTTCGAAGATTTCTTGCTATTATATTCAATAAATCAATCATGTAAAATATAAAATTAAAAAAGTGTCAAAATAAAATTTTTATAATTTTATTTTTAAAATAATAATTTGCATTCATGCTAATTAGAACTAATGTATTTTGTATTCAGAATTACTCCATATCATACAAATTAAATACGATACGGATATTTCTTACGTACGGAGTGTTATAAATCTGACATGTATAAGAGTATATGCAAATTATTATTTTAAAAAGTTGAAAATTTGACATTTTTTTATTTTACTTAGTTTTAATTTTTTAGATATCAAAAAGTTGAAAATTTGACATTTTTTTAGACACAAGAGTATATGCATAAGTAAATAATTAAACTACAATTTTTGCTTTCCTGAAAGTAATGAAAACATAATTTTTCAGACGTTCTAAAAAAAGAAATTGAAGTCATTAAGAATAGTAATTACTCCGTAATCTTTATTAGCTAACATAATCCTTATTAAATGTAGACGTGAAGGGATGGTTGGGGGAATTGAGAGGAAAAGAATTTCCGGAATCATTTGCATGGTCATACAAGAGGTTGGTACTCTACATTTTCATATTAAAAAATATGGAAAGAGAAATCATATTTGTACACCAAAAATTATATACTTTGTTTTGTGCTCCGAATATATGTACCAACATTATTTCATACTAGTGTAATTCTAGTGTGATAGTTCCACACAATATCAGTATAAATTATTTTGATTAAATTAACATTTTGTACCAGTATGAATCATTAAATGCTGGTGCTTCCCTTTGGGGTACATTTTTTGGTGTAAAAATATCTCTATTATAAGCCTCCAATTTTTTTATGGGACACATTGAGTAATTGTAGGTCTATTTTTCTTTAATTTTAATCAAGTCCATGTTTTTTTCAATTTATTGTTGGGGAATTGATGCGTGTCTCGACCTCTTTTCCCGATTCACACAACCAAACTCTTGTACACTCACACACACACTCAATAATACAAAAAACACGACTTTAGAAAATGACTTTGTATTATATAGAGAAAATGTACAAGAGATATTACAATTACACGGGTAGCACACTTCACTCTTTGTATTAGGAACACCTCACTCACAAGCACTCTCAAGAAGCCTTCTTGGTTGTTCCCTCTCTTCTTCCTCCACACTCCTATTTATACTCCTCACCAAGGCTAGGCTTCTCTAGAATGTTCCACACATCTCTTTATCTCTAGAATCTTCTAGAAAGTCTCCACATGTTTCCATAATGTTCTAGAAGAATCTAGAGGACTCCACATAGTTCTAGAATATTCTAGAGAACACTACATTCTTCCACACGCTTCTAGAGACTTCCACACTTCTCTAGAAAGCTCTAGAATATTCTAGAAACTTTTAGGCTATTCTACACATTTCTAGAGACTTCTATACTTCTCTAGAAAATTCCACAACATTCTAGAGAATTCTACACATCTCCATAAACTTCTAGAATTCTCTAGAATCTTCCCTCTCACAAATCTTTGGAAATATTGAATTAATATCCTAACATTTATCATATCAGATCAAAAGTAATTTTAAATATAACTACAATCAGATCAAAGCAGATTTTATTCTAGTCAGATCAAATCTATCAATTATTTCACGAACTACACACCTAAAGTGTCCCAATTGAATTAATCTAACCACTCCCTATTATATATATGTGTGTGTGTCTATGTATGTATGTATGTAGGAAATACAAAAGAGGATATGTATGGGAAGATGTAATAGGAGAAGATGATCTTCTTACTCCGATTTGTGACAATGAATACGTCCTCAAAGGATCCCAATTTACCTCATCCACACCTACCAAAGGCAAGTCTCCGTTGCTATTTATTTGTCTCCTAATTATATTGGCATTAACTGAACAAATTAAACAAGAAACCACTACACTGCGGTAAAAAAAATATTATGTATGAAAAAAGAGAATACAATTTCTAGTTTTGGTTGCAAAATTTATAGTTGAGATTTTTCTTTGTTAGAATATAAAAAGAATTTTTCATAGTCACAACCACAACATTGAATTTTAGGTTGAATTGGTTATTTGACATAGTAACAAAGGCTTGTTGAGTAAGAGGTCACGAGTTTGAAATTCAGTGCGACCAATATTTAAAAAATACGGAGTATTAAGATTTCGCGTGCAAGTCTCGAAAAAGATTATGCCTGCACGTTAGGGGCGTGTTCGAATATAAAAAACTTTTCATAGGTCACGACTACAAGTTTGCACTTTTGGTTGATCGAAATGGTTCCTTGACATGTTTTTCCAAAAGGGAATATGGAGCACTCTTTTCATTTTTTTTATTGTTCAGTTCGTTTTCCGTGTCGAACGTTTAACTAAGAGTATACGAAATATAATACATTAAATTATAAAATTATACTCCGTATCATGATTTTTTTCCAGATGCCATCTCTTCGTTTGTACAAAAACATTAAAAAAAATTGGCCAATATTATAATCAATCTTTTCTTCTTTCCCCTCTGCATCATCTTGTTTCCTTTTTTATTTTTTTCCATTAGCGATTCCCTAATAATGTACTCATAGACCGTTCGATCAAGTCTGAAGTACCCTCGAAAATGGGACTCGTCTTTTTTCGAATGATGTACTCACTATAATTTGAAACTGCCTTGAGTTGTCAATTGTCATGCCTCACTCACCCAATTTTAATAGCCAATTTAATTTCGTATTTATTGTTTCCTTTTATTCCCTTTTATCAATTGCGAAAACAAGTTGAACAGGTGTATTCGATGTTAAACTATCCGCTTTTAATTACAGCCCAAAATGTCACATTTTTCATGGTTTGCTTCTTTCACTAATTAATACTCCAATTGAGTATTCTTTTTAGAGCATTGACACTAACAAGTGGAAAATGAAATGTCATTTTAAACGTATTTTAATTATTAAAAAACTGTTTTAAGTATATTTTTTCATAAAAATTGATGTACTCCTGTTTGAAACAAAATTCTTGTAGAATAAAAATAAAATATTTAAAAAAAATAATAGAAAGGGGTCGAATGCCACGCATGCATATGGCACGAGAAATATGGTGATTTCCTTGCGCCTCGCCTGTTGCACGCATGGCTTCGCTAATTGTGCACAGAGTGGGAGTAATTAACCACACCGCGACAAATGCTCTTATGATTTGTATTAAAATGTAACACGAAACATGTATAATTATTTTATAAAGCTTCCAATTGATCATTAAGAGGGTGTTTGCGAGTAATCAACTTGTGAGTAAACTAATTTTCACAAAATCTGAAAGAGAAGCACCATATATCTCCTTCTCTAAAATGATATTCTATGTACAAAATGATACTCCTTCCGCTTCTTAAAACCCTTCATCTTTCATTTTTATTGTTTTTCTTAAAATACTTCCCTTTTCTATTAAAAAACCACTTTTACCCTTACTTTTTCATACCCTACTTATCACATCATACTTTTTCACTAACAACTAAACTATCACATCTTACTTTTACCCATCACATCAAGGGCAAAATTGGAAAGTCAACTACATTTTAACACTTCTTTATTTTCCCCCAAAGTTAAAAGAGGAACTCTTTTGAGAAACGGAGGGAGTAGTAAAAAAAAGGAGAAGTTGGTATGCTAAACAAAATAAAATGATTACTACTTAAAACATAAGTTGAATTCTAAAAAGCAACGCATGCCATGCCCTACACCCTCTAAGATTTTTTGGAAAGTGTTTTTCGTTATTGCTTAATGTTTTTGATAATTTTTTAGTAATGTAGAATTAAAAATAATTAAATACTACTATTAATTAGCTACTCCTTCCGTTCCACAAAACCCTTCCGGTTTTGACTTTTGGGAAAAATAAGATGAGAAAAAGTAAGATGTGATAGTTTGGTTATTAGTGAAAAAGTATGATGTGATAGGTAGGGTATGAAAAAGTAGGGGTAAAAGTGGTTTTTTAATAAAAAGTGGAAGTGTTTTGTGGAAAGCAAAAAAACGAAAGAGAAAGAGTTTTGTGGAACGGAGGGAATATTTTATTCCAAACGTTAAAATTGTTGCCAAAATGCATAATAAATACTGTACTAAATTTATAAAAAATGAATGAAGAGTCATATTAGTACTCCAAATATTGTCATAAAGCAACTTATTATTATTTGACATCGACTTCATATAGTTTTCAACTAGACTTAAATGAAGATAGGAAAATAGTACTCCCTCCGTCCCTAAATAAAGTTCCATTTTTGACTTTTTGAGGATTTAAGGGAGGGATATTTTGGTGTTGACTTTCCAAAAATACCCTTGATGTGATGTGTTAAAGTAAGATGTGATAATACTCCCTCCGTCCCTAAATAAAGTTCCATTACGAAAGAGGAACTTTATTTAGGGACGGAGGGAGCAAGAAATATGGAAAGAATAAACTTGATTTTTGTAACGAGTGGATTTCTTGGAGGATTAGGGGTAAGGCATGTTTGTTTTCTCCCTCTGCCCGCTAATTATTCATCTTTTTTTGAACAACGTATAAAATCTCAACTCTTTTTATTTAAAAATTAGTGTAAGAATAAAAAGTATTTTGTATGACTTAAATATTTAAACTACCTCTCAAAATGAATTATTATATTGTCTTTGAACCACATACAAAATCTCATGATTTTTAAAATGATTTTAATTACAAGTTGTTATAAAATAAAAAATAATACTTACTTTAGAAATTCACGAACTAATTCAAAGGTTCTACAAAATAATAGGTGACAAAAATATACGAAGTATTATCTTATCAAATAATCAATGAAAACAAGAAAATAAACAAAAATTATCAAGATGCCATTATATTAAAGATGTAAATCATTTTGTAGCGGAGGGAGTATAAAATCAGTTGTGACATGTAGATTTTATTTTATCGCATAATCAATAAAAACACATACATAGACAAAAGTTATTAGAAACTCTAAATAATAATAATTATTTTATTTTGTTAATTCATTTCCATAACAAGATTTATGGTGCACATTTTAAAAAATGATTCAAACACTATAAATATAGTGGACATGGAGCCAAATAAAATCCAAAAAACAAAGGGTTTTAAACTTAACAATTAAAGGTTAAAAAATTAGGCTAATTAAAACCGTGAGGAATTTACGTAAATAGCACTAAAACATAATGATTTTCCCTAAATAGTGTTATATGTGTTTTTTTCCTAATATAGCACTTTTAGTCATTATCCATTAGTCATTATTCAAGTTAATCTTTGCAATACTGCTATTTAAAGAATAAAACAACTTAAATGCTATTTAGAGAAATAATTTAAGTTTTAGTGTTATTTAGACAATTTCTGTAATTAAAAAGGCCCAATGCAAAAGAATTCACATTTTGAGGGCAACAAGCAGAGAGACTCAAATCCCAAAGATCAATGCCAATGCCATAAGGAGACATCCATGGATCACAATCTTTCTGGAAAGACATCGCCGGAAACATCCACATTCGCCGGCGAGGACGGCGGCGCATCCGCCGATAAGATCCAAGGGCAAGAAATGACGCGGCGGAGCACCGGCGGCGAAAGATCTGCTTCCTCTTCGCTTTGCTCTCTGTTCTCGAAACATAAAATCGGCGGGGAAGACGACGGGGCCCCACAACCCTCCGCCAGCATTTTTCGGAATCTCATCACTTGCGGCACCGTGGACACGAAAGACTCCGCCGTCTTGCGCCGCCATCCGCCGCCTGCTCCGTTGCCGGAGAAAAAAGATTGTTCGGAGATTTGTTGTAAGAAAACGGAGAGGCTGCGTGGGTCCCAGCGGATTTTCAGCTCTAATGGGAACAAAGAACATCGCCATAGTAAACCCATGTAAGTAAATTTCATTTGTGGGACTGTAATTTACATTTCAGAAATGCTAAAATTAAAATATTAAAAAACTCACATATTTTCACCTTAATATTCATCAAAATTTAACTTTTTGTAACAATCATTTTTTTCTCTTTCTTTTTGATAACTTTTGCTTATTTATGTAATTTCATTATATATTTGATAAAATAAAATATTTTTGTCATCTCTTTTTTTGTAGAACTTTTGACATAATCTTTTAATATGTAATTTTTATTTTTTATTGATATACCAATTTATAAATAAAATAATTTTAAAAAGAGAGAAATTTTTCTTCGTAAATTTTACTCCGTAGTGTGTAATCAAATTGGAAATGGAGGGAGCATAAAAAACAAATAAATTGATAAAAAAACAAATAAATTATGAATTGGTTTTTCACTTTTCAGGAAAGGCTGCGAGGAGCTGTACGGCCGAAGGCCTTTCAACAAATCTCCACACTGTTCGTAAGTGAAATACACTTTTAATTTCTTCCCACAAAAAAGAATTGCACTTTGTCACTTTATTATTCAAAAGAATCTTTTTCCCTTTTCATTCCCCTTTTTAAAGAAAAAATACTTTGATTTTACCTCTTGAAAAGAATTTCATTATTTGATTTTTACGGATTTCAAAGAATTGACTGAAAAGAATTCTATAAGTGACAAATATTCCTTGCTTTTTTTAAATAAAAAATAGAAGTGTGAAGTCTTTTTCGAAATTTCAAAAAAATAAAAATAAAAATAAAAATGAAAGTTTTAGTTTTTTGGGGATGGAGAAGTATGTGGTTCAATTTCGGAAAACCAACAAATAGTATAAATTTTATTTTTGAAATAAAGAGAAGTTTTTTATCATGCATATAAGGTTGGACCTTCTTAACAAGTTTGTGTTTATTTTTTAAATATAAAAAGTACTTATTTGGTTTATATAGAATTCCGGCCACCACTTACTTTAAATCCTTATAAAAATCCGTCGAAATTACACCGAGTAGTAATGTAGTGTTATCATTTTCATATAAAGGCTGTGTGTTTTTTTTCTCTTTGGGGCAGACAATGTGGAAAGCCATTCAATCCAGAGAAACTGCATTCCCACATGAAGTCATGCAAAATATTAAGGAATTATAAGGAGAAAGAATATTCTAAGAGATCGACGGAGGGTTCGTTGACGAAGAACTCTTATTGCTTCACTCACTGAATATTTTTGCATTTCATTTTTGCTTCTTTTGATTCTTATTGTGTATTCCTTTTAAAGCACTCTGGTGCCGGAAGGCGTAGCTTAGTTGGTAAATAAGTGGTGCAAAAGGATATGATATGTTTGGAGTGGGCGTTGATGTGTGAAGGGAAAAAACTCGATATTATAAATAGATATCTAAAGTTAAAGCTCGTTGAGTCGGCTCGAACCAAATAACCCTGACTCTTTGAGTCATGAACAAGAGTTCATCAGCTCAAACCCCCGACCATTTTGCCAGCTCTACTTATTATTCAATTTGATTAAGTTCGTTTTTAAGTAGGGGCAAAGTTGAGGGAAACTTGGGGGCACTATAGCAACCTCTAATTATGTGGTGTTAATAATTTCTTGCTTTGTACTAGGTCTTACAATTACATGTTCCAACAAAACCCAATTTAGTTAGTTGGGGTCTTAAGGTACACAATCTCACCCTCCAAATTGTTGTGTCAATGAATAATGATTCATATCAATTCCTTATACACAACTTGGGACACAAAAAAAACAAGTATTATGATATTTTGCAGGCTTTAGGGATGAACAGATGGCTGGCGAAGAACACTTCAACCGCGCCATCTGTTCACACCTCTATAGCACTGCATCCGGGTTCCTTTTTCAATCCCGCGTCCTGAATCGATTGCCTGACACTCCTGGCTTCAGCATCCCAACAAGCCTCCTTATACATCATGTATGAAAGCATGTGAGTCCCATAGTCAGGTACCCTCATACTACACAGTTTTCTCCACATTCTGTCACCAGCTTCAACGTTGCCGTGTACCCTACAAGCACTCAAGAATGCACCCCAAACATTAGGGTCACCCTTTTCTATCCCACCCATCTTCTCGTCAATGAACTTCTCGGCTTCCTCTAGCTTACCTGCCCTTGCTAAGAGGTCTACCACGCACGCGTGGTGCTCAAATCTTGGTTTTACGCCATAAACGCTGCTCATTTTGTCATATAATAGAAGACCTTCGTCGACTAGCTTAGCATGGGTGCAGGCAGAAAGAAGGGAGACGAATGTGGTATGGTTCGGTTGGGCCCCACTTGACACCATTTCATCAAAGAGTTGTAGAGATTTCGATGCATCTCCGTTCATTGCGAAACCAGATAGAATCGCATTCCATGACCCGTTGTCTTTACGAGGAATCCCTCGAAAGACAGATAAAGCAGAGTCCATTTTACCACACTTTGAGTACATATCAACTAATGCAGTGGCTAAGATGAGGTTTGATTCATACCCATAATGCCTTGCCATGGAGTGAATCCATAACCCTTGCTCTAATGAGCCAAGATGGGCACAAGCCGTGACTGCACTCACAAGCACCGCCTCGTTAGGCCTTATTCCAACTTCTTCCATTTTCATGTACATCAACAAAACTTCTTTAAAATCACTAACCCGCAAATAAGCCGCCAGCATTGTGCTCCAAGAGATCACATTTCTCTCAGGCATTTTCTCAAACAGTTCTCTGGCTTTCTTCACCTGCCCAACTTTCCCATACCCATCAACCATGGCCGTCCACATCACCACATCTCTGTCAGGAATTTCATCAAACACCATCCCGGCATTCGCCATTTCACGGGCCAGCGAGTAGAACTCAATCAACGCACTGGCAATGAAACGATCTCGGCAAAACCCAAGCTTCAAAACATGAACATGTACCGAAAATCCCAGTCCCCTGAAGTCATCCAAAACCAGAGAGCACGCCTTGATCAGGGGTGTGAACGTATAATTGTTCACAATGATCTTACAGCTGAGCATCTCCTTGAAACACAGAACTGCGGGCACCGGCGAATCCCACTGCACGTATCCCCTGATCATGGTGTTGTACAAGAACGTGCTCCGGAATCGAAGGTTGCGAAAAACAGAGCGGGCGTAGGCGAAGAAATCGGGGTTCCTGGAGGCGACGGCGAAGGAGAGAAGCGGAGCTATGGAGGCGGGGCTCTGGGGGAGATAGAATTTGAGGAAATGGGCATGGATTTGTTTGAGCTGGTTGAGGGTTTTGCAGTTTTGCATGAAGAACAGTAGGGAGAAATACTGAAATCGAATCGATTTACAGAGCCGTAGGTTCCGACTTCGGATCTTCTCTCCTTTGGACGAATGAAATTGGTTTGTCCCTTGGCCATTAAAATAAGACAAATTTTGATTCTAAATTAAATAAAATTTAAATTTAATGTTACAGAGAAAATAATTTATTAGATTCCTTTCCGAAAGTATTTTTAAAATTTTATTTTATTTAATTAATGTTTTATATACTCTGTAACTTTTATATTTAAATATTGGTTAAAAGTTAATTTTGATTTATTATAAAAAGTCAAAAAGTCTTGTTATAAATCAAATCCAGCTACAACTCTTTTTTATATTTTTATTAACCATTTAAGTTATGTTCTGTGGCACACTCTCCTCTTTCTTTTTTCAATAATAGGTCTTTCAGGCATGAGTGTTTCTTTAGTGCACCTTGAGTGGATATTATTTTTATGGTCTTTTTCACATAAAAAATTATTTTTTATTATTTTTATTTAAAAAAATAGACACTAATATCTCCCATGTTTTCAAAACTTATTTCAAACATTCATGTGGTTTCAAAATGTTACATTCATACTTTCTCGAATCATTTTCCGGCCACTTTTCCGGTGAAGAGAGGGGCATTGGTGTCTACTTGGTGCTCATTTCTTATTTTTCATTTATTTTGAGATAGATGGAGTATATGTTATTTTGTTTTTCAAACATAGAATTTGGAATTTTTTAAAACATTATAAAAAATTGAAAAGAAGATTTAAAAAGTTTCTAGGAATAGGAAACAAATAGTTAAAAACCAGATAAAAAAGGAAAATAAAAAACAAATAATAAACAAAAATAAAAATGAACATAAGTTCCCTCTATGGTTTAGAAAACAAGTACCAATGCCCCGTCATTGCCGGAAAATGACCAAAAAATGATCAGAGAATAGGGGTACAATATTTTAAAACCTCATGGATTTTAGAAATAAGTTTTAAAAACAGAGAAGGAATTGGTGCTAATTTTTTCAAACCACGGGAGGCACTGGAGTTATTTGGCCCAATATACTCCGTATTAAGCACAAAGCAACCATTACATCCACCAGTTTTAGGAATTAATGTTAAAACATCAGTTCATATATAATCCATAGTTCACAAGGATTGATCAGTTACATATTTTTGAGAGGAAGGCTCAACTATTGCTCTCAATATCTCTATGATATGATCACAAAGTCAGGGTTATAAATGTAATTGGGAGGGTTAGCTAAGGTACAGTCTTACACTCTACCCTACAACTATGGAAGAAGAGTCCACATGATCTAGCACAAACCTATACAACTTTTTTCTCAGGCCTTCTATGTTTTCATCAGCTTCATCCCCTTCCTGTCTACTATTAGAGTACCCATCCAGCCACTGATTAACCCTTCTGAGCTGCCCCAATAGCCCAACAATTTTGGGGCACCCTTCGTTGCTTCCCTTCCCCACCTCAAACTCCATGTCTAACCTATTCTCCAAGTAATTCAGAAACCACCTCTGGGAAAAAGAAAGCAACTTCTCAGCTAAGATACAAGCATCCTTCAGTCTCTCTCCTTTTGACTTCACTTGAGACGGTTTGGGTTTATTGGACGTTACTCTGGAGTGGGATATACTACTGGGTTTTCCCATCTGTTGTTAAAAGGTTCTCGGATTTCTTGGGGATGGTATTCTCTATTATAGCACAGTAGTAGTGTTTCTCACCACTAGCAGGGCTGCTGCTTCTTCCTCCTCTCTGCTGCTTTGAGAACAGGCAAAGGTTTGAGTCTAGAGCAGCTTGGACCCATAATGCTGCTGCATTTCTGTTCTTGCACATCCCTGGGAATGGAGAGTCTGAGCCAAAACCTTCTTTTATTTTTGTTTCTGGGGGCTTCTGGTTCAGCAAAGCATGAATGACTGCAAGTGCTCTCTGCAAGTTTTCATGAAGCTTCAAGAATTTCTCTACCACTGGTCCTGCAGAGTTTTTTTCTGCCATTTCACATAGCTCTGCAAACATGCTAGCAAAATGGGAATGATGTCAACTACTACTACCATATACAAGGTGGTGCTGAACAGAAAACACCAAACTGAAACCAAATTGAAACCAACCTAAACAAACATTATCATAGGTCAATTCACATTTGCAATTTAAGATGAAAATATCGTATGAAAACTGAATGTATAATTCTAACCTCATACAAGTTATGACGCCATCTGCAGCAGAAGCTTCTTCTAGTGCATGCATTGCTGAAGCAAATGCAGCCATCTTACAAGTCATAACATCCTGCTAAGGAAACACTCTGATTAGTTTTAAACAAAATGACACAGCAAATCCAAGAAAAAGATGAAGACGAGCTCCACCGACTCTTTTTTTACTTACCTTCCCTAGATTTCTCAGTGTTGATGGAAGTGAATTCCACAATATCTTTGAGTCTGAAGAGCTCTTAAATGTGACATCCACCTTCGTCAAAGGATTTGGAAGAGTCTCATCATCTTTCTTACCAGGCTTGCTAACAAGTTTTGGAGGAACAACGGTGTTCTTATTTTGAAGTGGTGAAGCGTCCATTCTAGAATGCCTTGGTGCCAATTCTTTGTCCAAATGGACTTTCTTCTGAACCTGCAAACATGTTAGAACATAGAGAATCTCATGACGGGCACGTTTGGTGACGCTGAAATGGCTGAGCCAATTTTTATAAAGGAAAAGAATATGGTAAAATGAATTTCAAACAAATAAGCAAATCATACACAACTACACTTTGTTTCTTCTTAGTCGAAAAGATTACTTTTGTATCAGATTCTCAACGTCCTAATTGGGGAGCCGGCTTCTCTAGTGTGCCTAGGGGCCACTTGACTGTGCTCTTATTTATCAATTAAAGACAATAGAAGTTCTTAAAACAACAAGATCTACACTAATGACTTACAGAATCTGTGCTAGCCCCCTTGAGAGAATGGCTCTTCTTAGACATGGACTTCGAATCAAATCCGGCACCATCACTCCGGTCCCATCCTCTTCTCATTGAATCCAATCTCATTCTCCTCATTCCCATACCAGCATCAATGGAGTGCCTTCTTGATTTCAAATCTCCACTCCCGACCGGTCCTTTCGCTTTAACCTCTAATTTTCTCACATCCCCATGTTTCTTCACCTTCTTGAGCTCAGCCCGACCACGCGCCTTCAAAACATCGCTGGAAATCAAATCCTTGGGCTCCCCAATGCACGGTCGCCTCTTTGCCGGCACCGGCTTCACTCCCCTGAGCACCGGCACGGGGGAGCCCTTCTCCAGGCGAGCCACGTGAATGAACTGCCCGAGTTGGATCTTGTCACACAGTATCAGCTCGGCATCTTCGTCTGCCACAGACACATAAGCCGAGTGCTGAGAATCCGAAACCCTAAGGTAAAATCCCCTGCTCTTCCACGGATCATCTTCCAGCGAAGGTACGATGCCAATCACCTAACAGAAAGTTCAAAACCACTCGTTAAGTAACAAAATCGAACATCTAGATCCAGACGAGCCCCGCATTGCAGAAAACCGAAGAAATAGAACACGAGAAATCCACATTCGCGAGAAATTACAAGCTTACCTGAAGGAGAGCGGAGCGGTGTTCTCCGACGACCTTCGCGTCCTTGTTCTCCACATTCTGCAGAAGCTTGAGCAAGACGCCGGGAGTGAGGGAGGCCATCGGAGAAAGCGAGGTTTATGAGGTCATTAATGGAGGATGCAAGCAGGCAGGAGAAGCTCAGCAGCGACGACGGAGAGGATTGCGGGTCGGGCGGAAGAAGGGGGGAAGGAAACCAGAGTAGGGCAAAATGGGCGGCGCGTAGGATGAAGAGAGAAAGAAGGAAAAAGTGAAGATCGCCATGTGAGGGAGATGATGAAGAAGAGACGGGAGAGGTTAGGAATAGGTACAGATAGGACAAAAAGGGAAGGTGTCAGCAGCACTTCATTTTCAACTCTTTTTTAGTCTTTTTTTTTTTTTATGAAAAATGCTAGGGTACAGCAAAGGTGTACCCCATTTGTCCCCATCCCCTCCATTACCATAAAAATGGGCAAAAATTTTAAAAAACATTAAATAAATAAAAAGTAGATAAAAATGAGTGGTGGAGAAGGGGTGATGGACAAATGGGATACACTTTTGGTGTACCCCAGCATTGCTCTTTTTTTATACTTTGAATCGTTAGACTATGGATAAGGATCTTTTTCAAAATTGGATTTTGCGTGTAGGTCAAGTGGTAAGTGGTAACTCATTCAAATATAGGATGTCAAGCATATTAATTCTAGGGATTGAATCCCGGTAGTGACATTATGAAAATCCTATTATTCATTATAGCTTTTTGTATATACTGAGCACGAGGCGGCCTCCCTAAGAACTATTCTGAAATATAACATGATTTATTCACTTTACAATCCTGTTGGGAATGGGTATTGGGGAGCCGAGGGTGGGCATTCCACCTTTTTCAAAATAATACAGAGTAAGTATGAGAGTTTGGTTTGAAAATGAGGTAAGGGGAAAGAAATAAGAATGCACACGCGTCATTAGATTTTAGATTTAAGCGCTATTAAAAGTAAAATATCTGAAAAATGAAAAAATTGCAATGATATTTTTGTAAATAAATCGAATTTGTAGTGCCGAAAATGCACAACTACAAGTATAAAATGCATCACAGTGGATAAAAAGTGCAACATTCTCATTTCTCGCATTCAGGGTCATTCTTACCTAATTCATACCCTGAAGTATAATATACTCTCCATCCTCCCCTATTTACTCTTAAAAAATGTCTCTAGATAGTAATAAAATATAATCAGAATAAAAAATAAGAGTGATATAGTTCTAATCCTCTAAATAACAGTGTAATGACAATATGGTGGCATTGAAGTGGTGAACAACCGGTCACTGGTGGACAACACTGATGGCACTATGATGAAACGACAGTTCTTCAACGACCCAGAGTGGTGCTCCGACAATCTCACAACGGCGATAGATGGTAGTATGGCGTGGCAGATGGTCGTGCGACAATAATTGATGATGATAGTTTGGACTCGTGTATTTAGGTCTTAGAGAATTGTTACTCTTATTTTGGGATTTTCATGTTATTTTACCCTTATTTAGAGAGCACTTCCTTTACTCTTCCCGTTTGCTTTTTATAGGGAGTTTAAGTATAGTGAATTCACGTGTAAGAAATTTGTGCAGAAAAGAGAAAATTAATGTGAGTCATACAATTCGAGGATTGAGTCCCAACCTTTGAGACAGTAGCACCATCCATTAGATAGCCTCCCAAATACCCCAACCCCTCGTGCTATACAACATCCACGTCTTGTGGCCAGCTTCGGTCATGGGACAGGGGTATAAGAGATAGGCTAGTCATGTCTGTGTCTTACATTGATCGTTCAGACATAGAGCATAAGTTACTCACTATACACCCAAATTTGCTCGTTCTCCTGTTTTATCATCTCTTGCCTTCGAAGCTATTCCGACTAATCAATCTTTCGATGATATGTCGAAAAAAGCAATGATGCGCGAGTCCCAAACTGTTGGCGATGAGGGTTAGGATCAACAAAGAAAGGTGGATGGAATTAGAATACAATTTCGATATATCATAAATTGCGAGCAAACTCTATTGAATTATAATATAATTTCCACATAATTTGGTTCGTCTTAGAATACAATTTTGATATGTCAAACTATTATAACATTTATTTATTAAGATTATATTTAATTTGTAGTCAAAGAATATAACTGTTTGGCTAAAAAAAGTCAAAGCAGGAAAGATTTTTTGAACCGGAGGAAGTAATACTTTAGTTTTAAGCTCAGCCCGAAAAAAAAAATGCAAATCATGTACTTAATATACTTCAGAGGTATGTGTGGCTATGTGAAAAAAGCACAATCCCTCACATTGAAAGAAAAATAATACATCATCAAATATGTTCCACAAAGAATGGTATTCGTCCCTTGATGAAACTACAATTCACGAAATGGCAAAAAAACACAAGTAAAACAAAAGAAATTAAAAACCACACACATACATAGTTAATTAGCAAAGCAGAAACAGAATTCTTAGCCTCATATGGTAAAAACACACTGGATATTCATTAACACAGAAAATAAAAGTTTAATGAATAAAAAAACAAGGGGGATTTGGTGGGTGGGTGGGTGGGGGGGATGATCCATAAAATGACACAATGCAGCAATGCTGCTGCAGCACTTCCCCACTTCTATTATGCCTAATACAGGTTAGAAAGTGACTCAAATCCGGGTGGGGTGGGGTGGGATCTGTACCATTTTACATGAGCCTCGGGCTTTAGGGTACCTTATGTCTTACTTAGCCCAGGAGATGACTCTTCAATGGACCAGCAACTGTCAGATGCCTTTAAAGGAAGTAATCAGGAGTCCTCCGGGTAACATCGGGTTCTCCCCTTCTTGGAGCTGGTTCAAACTGTGGCCACATAGTAATAATGTAAAATAGATCAGATCCTCAGACAACGTGGGTATAAAAATGTCCCTTCCAACCTTTAAGAAAGAAAATTTATGTTTTTTATTTAATGTATTTTTTTGTCAATTGTCACAATTTGCCAAAGATGCCCCTACTTGTTTCAGGGTATTTAGAGCAACAAGTGAATACCGAGTATAAGAGATCTGACAATTCTGTCTAATCTTATTTGGTAGCTTAATGGTCATGTGTTTATGGAAAAAAAAAGTATTTATGTAATAGAAGCTTGTTTAAATAAGAGGTGTGTTCAAGGCTCCCTAGAGTTTGAAATCAGGAAGGGCCAGGAATATCAATACTGTAATTCATATACAAATGTATATCAAGAAAATATGCATGTGAAAATCATTTGAATGATCCTTCATCTCCCCTCCCCCCAAATATGCCCTGGAGTATGTAAGGGTGTGTGAAAGAACATGCACCTGAATAAATGTATGTTCATTGCTGTCATCGACTTCCAAGATAGAGGCCATGTTACCGCAGCGATAACAGTAGTTTGGTGCACTAAAAATGGTAACCACCTTTTGTTCCTGTGTCAATCAAAACAGTTTGGGAAATTTTAAAAATGAAAAACCTATCGAATAAAAGCAAAGTAAATATGGTTTAATGCGATCTTATGACTAGAGAGTACTGATAAATAATTACATGGCTCCAGTTATATCCTTCCATAACTAGTTGATGGGCTCTTGCTATCAGTTTCAGACTGTTAGTATGGTTGAATTGCTCAGATATGTCCTACAAGAAATTTACACATGTATGGAAATCAGACAAAATGGACATAGGTAGATAGAAGCCACCAGAAAAACACTTGAATAAGATTTTTATTTGGGTGGGGGGAGGGTTGGAAGTGAGGAGGCAGAAGAACCTGGCCAAAGGTATAGCCAGCACCTCGTGGTGATATGCCCCAACCACAGCGATCATCAGGGTCGGACCATAAAAGATCACACATGGGGCCTTCATGTGGCACTTCTTGAACACGATCAAAACCTCTTATATTATCAAGGGTCTCAATAGACGGGGACAACCCACCATGCAAACAAAATATTTCCGATTCAACCTAGAAGAATCCACATATAAAAGATAGACATTCTTTCAGCAGCTTTTCCAAGAAAGGTGTAGTAACAGAAAAAAGTAGTAAATGTTACGATACAGATTAAAAAAATCTATTACATGGTTTAGAGAGCATTACTAATGGCTAAATAATACTCCCTCTATCCCAACAACAAAAGTCGTGTTAGGTTGAGCTACAACATTTAAATTTTAGCAAAGTACAACCCCTAACTTTTATTCAATCCTACCAATATTTTTAAACTTTATACTTTGTCCTTTTGTTGAACTTAATATGCCACATGGGAACTGTTTAAAATTACTTGGCTATCTTTTGGCACCACACATGAAAAATTTTATGGATAACATGACTCTTTTTGGGATGGGTGGAGTAATTTAAAACAACAGTAAATGCATTTTGCAAGTGGTGGGGGTGAGGATTTAAAAAAAATCAAAAGGAAGTTATTGATATCATATTTGTGGTCAAGTTTATAGGATCGAACACAATAATATATAGAACAAATCCCTAACCAATGCAGTCAAAGGAAAGTAGTCAAAGAGATCCGTGAATGTCTTCCAGACATTAGCATTCCCATACCTGAGAAGAAAATATGAAGATTAGTGCATTTTGATATTTATCATTAAGAATCATGCCAGCAAGCCAAACATACAATCTTCAAACAGTGCATAATAATGAAAAAATAATTCCAATGGCGGGATATATTTTTCTATCAGTCCACAAGTCATGGTGTATTCAACTGTAACTGAATGGTGCATTGGGTATCTATGCATAAACCATAGTTGTGATTGGCGAATGGCGAGTGGCGGGCGAGAGGTTCTTTTTTATGGCGAGAAGCGTGGCGAGTGGCGGGCGGTCAAATGGCGAACATTATATAAATAAATAAATATTATATATATATATATATATATATATATATATATATATATATATTGTTTAAGTCTAAACTTTTAGTCTTAACTTTGTATCAAAGTATCAAACATAATTATCAAAGTAAAACATGAGTTATTGGTAAAACAAAAAACAAAATATAGTACTTAAAAAGAAATTAAGAATATAATAATACACATAGTGAAGACAATTAAGAAACAATAAGCATTCAAAAAATAAATAAAGAAACAATAAGAAAACAAAAATAAAAAGTCTAACCTACGAAGTGGAGTCTCGACTCTGCGAAGCGCGCTGTTTGGACTTGGGAGAGAGAGGAGGGGCTGCGCCGGCTGAGGAGAAGCTGAGGAGGGCAGGAGGCTGAGCCGGCTGAGGAGAAATTCGATCGACTATTGACGAGACGCAGAGGCAGAGGCAGTTGAATCGATCGTATGAGGAGAAGTGATTTGATCGACTACTAATAGGTCAGCACGTTTAAAAAAAAGTCAACCTTTTCAATTAAAAATCCTTGACCTGTGCCTGGCGTGGATGGCGAACGCCTATCGCCACAGAGAATGGCGTAAAACGCCACGCCAGGCCTGAGAATGGCGTCAAGTGGTCGCCACAAAGCCATAGGCGAGAATGGCGAGCGCCATTAATAACTATGGCATAAACCAATAACATCTCAAACTAAGTTCTTACTCTTAGGTACCACCACATTAGTGTTTGCCTCTTAAGCTAAGAGTCAACCAAGTTCTCTACAAAACTTAAAGAGCTATATAAGCATCTAAAGGACTTGGGTAAATCAGAATTATAGACATAACTTAAAAGAACTTACTTCCGCAAGCACTCATCATAAAACCCATAGACTTGTGTGATCTGCATTAAAAAAACAAACATTCAGGACAAGGCAGGTGGAACTATGACATTCGACACCACAATTACCCAAATTTCAGCAGCACAAGAGTATAAATCTTATTTGTACGCCAACAAAACCCTCTCTTAAACGAATGTGGTTCTCATCTTCCTATCTATTAGTATCCCTAACCTATGATTAGTTTCTAAAAACTAAATTGGGGCAGAAATGTGATTTAAAACAGAGGGTAATTCAGACATTGCACCCATGAACGAGATATACTTGTAATTATCACTTTGCACTCTTAGAAAGCACAAATTTAAAAGTACACCCTCAAAAATACTAAAGCACTCCAAGGTGTACCCTCAAAAGTCAAAAATATTACAACGCTAATGTGCACCGTCAAAAGAACTAACACGTTCCAAAGTGCGCCATCAACACATTTTTTATGTAACTTTCTTTATAATTTAAAAAGCTATGGGCTGTCCGATATGTATTTTTTCTAACCACTCCTTTTCCTTCCAAGACCTAAACTGAGTCCAGCTGTGTATTACCCAAACCATAGAGAAGTTGAGTATGAGGGGATTTTTTACAGAGCAACAAGATTCTAGTTTTGAGAAAAAAGCGGGTGCTCAGACCAAAATACTCATCCACCTGATAGGAGCATTTTAAATTTTGCATGAAATTATACTACACATTTGTGAGAGTGCTATGGAGTGTTTGAATATTGCATTCTGAATATGCAAAGTGATCATATTCCCTTTTTTAGTGTGTAAAGTGAAGCCTACAGGAAAACGATTAATAATATACACAAGACATTTTTGAATGAAATTGTAGTTTGAAGTAGTATACCTAAAATTGAGATCAGTTAAAGCATAAATTAAAATCAAACTGGCATTGCAGACAAGAGCAGCCAAAAGAAATAATCAGGCAATCGCTTTATGATATACAGTAGCATATTACCTGTCGACTTTCATGGTTTCCCCTGAGAATAGTAATTCGCTGAGGATGACGTACTTTAAGAGCAACCAAAAGCTGAAAGGAAATCACAATGCAATCTCAGTAACTTGCAATAAGTAACTAACTTTTGTTTCAATTTGTCAGTTGTTACTTTGTCTTGGGTCCTAAAGGTATGACCAATTTTGTTATAAAAGACTGATAAAGTAAATTTTAGAAAGGAAAGCATCCATATTTCTAAAATCTAAATATAATAACATCTACAGAATGTCAAAAATGTAGCATTACGAATAGAATAGATAAACATTTTAGTAAAGCACAGAATTCAGTTGCTTACAGTCACTGTTTCAACAGAATAATAGCCACGGTCCACGTAATCTCCCATAAAGAGATAATTAGTATCAGGACACTGCCAATTAGAAACAACATTACTTTATCAATCAGAACATAGGATCTGCATAGAACTGTAGGTGAGTGACAAGCAACTAGTTCAGTACTAATTATGTATTATTGGCACTTTTTTTGGAATTGCATTATTGGCACTTAAATGTGAATGATGCATGAAAAAGTGATATAATGCCATGATTGAAATGGGTCGGATAGCCGAGTTAACTTTTAATGTAGAAAATAGGGCAGGCAGAATCTGAAGAGCCAGTTACTAAAGAGACCTACATGTAGATTTAATATAGAGCACGAGAAGATGGCAACTTTTTATTCAATTTTTTTATAAATGCCTTCAAGAAGATGTATCATACTAATATGTATGCGCACTAAAATCTTGTTTGTCATTCAAACAAGAACATGAAAAAAAAGTAGAAATATGAACCCATTTAAAAATATAAAAGTAAAACTGTTACTCTGCATTCAATAGCTTAAATGGAAATTACATCATACAGAAAAACAATCATGATTCATATTGTTTAAGCACAAAAAGATACTACAAGGCTCGTAGAAAATATAGCAATTACCTTCCCACCAATCCGAAAGAGTTCAGCAAGGTCGTGAAATTGCCCATGAATGTCCCCACAAATGGTAACAGGGCTTTTTACTGGCTGCATCACAATAGTTACAAAATGTAAAATTGTAAAGATCACTGTTACCTAGCAATCTGGCATGCAGAATTGACTGCTCCTAGTATTTAACAGGTCCACAAAATGAGAATTACATAATAGGCGCGTAGAAGGATGCAAGTATCTCAAGAAGGACGAACCATATCACAAAACAAAAAGAGAAATAAGCTATTTAACATTACAATGGAAAGAGACATTGCAAAACAAGATGAATAGCTAGATCTAAAAGGGCAAAGGAGCCCCAACAATATGCTGTTGACAGAAACACATGAAGGTGTTAGCTTTGGTTTGCTAAGCCCAAGTGTTTTGATGTTAACAAACAAGATATATGCGCTAATGAAATTGTTCAAGTGAGCAGAGACAACACGAATCCATTATTTGTTACAATTTTCAAGAAGACGACTCTTGCCCCAAACTAGTGTAGAGTGTTTTATTTGTTAAAGAAATGTGCTTCATATATTATATGCACAACAAGCTCAAGCACTTTCGCATCCCTATTTCAAAACTCATTCTAACACCTTTTTGATACACCTCAAAGGCTTTAAACTCAAGAAATATGTTTTGACAAAATTGTATCTGACGGTAGTGGTCCCCGTTGAAGACACTGCCAAATTAATCCTGGGAGTGTGCTCTTTGGGATGACTTTTCCATAAGTTTTTAACACTGCCGGAGGTAGTGACAAGTGTTGTCTGCAGTGTTGTTCCACACTTCCACCCCAGAAAAGTTACTTTATTTTGAAATATCTGTTGGAATACTTTTTCATGCACTTTCTAGCCTTGGATGCTCCTCCTAGCTCTCAAACGGCTACATGGCTTCATATGCCTATAAATAGCTTGCCAAAACATCATTCTACTAGCATACAAGCTCTATATACATAAATCCTTGATTGTCCAAATTGGCCAAAGTGTTGCTGCTCAAATTCTTCTTTATTTGGTTATTTTGTGAAGGGCCAAATCCCTCAGGGCATTATTCTTTAACATACACCTTGAGCATTTAAGCTTGTTGTTATATATTATACATACACTTCATAAAGAAGAGTTGTAACTGTAAGGAGTGTATACACATTCACTACACAACTACAGCACCCCACTCTTATATTGTATTTCATTGAGGTGGTGTAGAGTGATTTTTATTCTTCAAATATCTTCTTTGCGGTTGAGGGTAGCCAAAGAAATCCTTCCCACGAAATCCTTGGTGAACTATTGAGGATAGATAATGCAAATCTTGGATAGAAATGGTCTTCCGGTCTAAAATATCCCTTGCAAAATCTTTACAACCAGTTGAGGATAGCCATTGCAAAATCTTTAGTTCAAGCAATTGAAGATAGTTGCAAAATCTTCATAAGTGGTTTAGATGATAGTTTCAAAATCCATGGTGACAAGGATCAAGAATAATCATTGCAAAACTCTCATTGTAAGTGATAGTGAATAGCCATTACAAAAAAGCCATTGAGTCCTATTGTTAATGATTGTTTGTCAAAGCTAGTATGATGCTCCAACGAGTTCTTAAGACCGGGAAATTAGAGGATTTGAAATCCTTAATGAGGAGCCTTAGGGTATTGGAGTAGGGATTTCCTAATCCAGTGGTGCACTTTACATTACACTTTTTATTTCTACATTTTATTTACTTTCACATTTCATTTATAGCGCATTCATACAAGTTACACACATTAGACAGAAATTGATTGTAAAGTAGGAAAGAATTTTGCAAGTGCCTTATTCAATACCCTAAAGCATGTCACCCTGACTTTCAAAGGTAATGATAAATGGATTAAGGGAAACGAGCAATAAAAGACTACTTTAAAGCATATCTCGACACTTTCACATTTATACTCTACATTATCCTTGTAAGTTATGAAAGTCCACATTTTAGAATACACTTAAGTTCAAATCAATAAAAAGCACAGTAACTGTTAATATGGTTACAAGAAAATTCAAAGCATGTAAAAGTTTTGTTCCATACCTGAACATTACTTTCTTCCATGAGTATCTCTTTGGCTTTTTCACATAACGCTCTAACCTAAAACCAAGCAACGAACAAATTAGCTCTACCACACCATTCTTGAAAATAGCAAAACTAATTTGGAAAATGATAAGTTTAACACACATAAGTAAATCTAATACAATATGATTCTTGAACGTCAATTGTGAATAAAATACTCCCCTATCCCAGTATCCCTAAATAACAGTCAGAGTTTGACTTCATACACATCGAAGCAAAAAATGTCAAGTGCTTTGACCTTTCAAGAAGACTCCTCAAAGACCTCAAATAGGTTAGTGAAGGTGGGGGAGGAATGTTGATGGGTAGAAAAAGGTGAGTGGGATAGGTAGAGGTATTATATTGTTTTGAGTGTTAGGCATGCCAAATATGGAACTGTGACTTTAATTTTGGGATGTCGAAAAATGGAAAGTGTTACTTTGTTCTAGTGACGGGGGAGTAAAAGAGTAAATTCATCATTAATACAGTATATACCAAGTTATGGAGTTGAGTTCAATGCATATAAGCATATTCCAATATAGACTTTCATGGCCGCCTATTCACAAATCAAGACTTTTATTTCGAAACTTCAAATAAAGGTGACATGATTGCCATGATAAATATCATTATATCACTTTGGAATGATATGGAAAGCTGCTTGTATCTACTTAGGACTGGTATAAGTGCATTATTCCCAAACTATCAACACGTAACTAATTACAGCTCCCTCTTTTGCAGTGCATCCCAAGTACTTCTTCATTCATAGTACATTCCTGTATCTTCTCCTTTTACTTGTTTCCATGGTATTTATCTCAAGCACAATCAAATCCAAATTGCTTTTCGAAGTTGAGATTCCCAACTCCAATTGTCTGAACTCGTTCATTTTTATAAAAATCACATTGCAAACGAATTCTAAGTTTCTTCAACATAAAGTTGCAAAAAAACCCCAAAGATCCAACCTTTTGAACATCTATATGTGGATCGTCTTGAAAAATCATGCTCGCTCCAAAAACCAAACAGATGTAGGAAAAAGTAACAACGAACGCAATATCAAAATGCCAAAATTGAAAGGAAAAAAAAACAGATCCGCAACAAAAAAAAAGCAGAAACGAGAAAACGGGAGATTAACCTCAGACTCAGACAAGGGCTTGCACTGCATGAGATGAGAAATCTGCTCGTCCAGATTTCCTCGGGAGCTCGGCGAAACCAGATCCGTACTCATTATCTTCCTCCTCCGATGCAAACACGGATTGATCTCTCAAAAACTCTTTCCCGAGCCCAAGCCCTAACCGCGGATTACAATTCTGCGATGCGATGGCCCGCCGGAGAAGAAGAAGACGGCCGCGGGAGCGGGAGGACGAGGTCCACAAGAATGGCGAAATCGAGGATCGGGCGGGGCAACAGGGAACCATATAATTTTGTGGATCTACTTATTTATGGCCCTTGCTCACTCCAACGTTAAACTAGAATTTTTTTTCTTTTGTTTATTATTACTGCGTTTTTTATTTTATTTTTTATTTTTCCAGTACTAAATATTACTACTTCCGTCCGAAAATATTTTTCTCATTTGACTTTTTTTTGTCAAAATTTGTAAACTTTGATTATAATATGTGGAAAAAATACATTGTATTACGATTTAACTTTAATATGAATATTTTCATTTTGAAATATAGTTTTTCAAATATCAAATTTTTATAAAATCCATGTATAAATCAAGATATTAATGGTCAAAGTGCAATCTTGGAGATCGTAGCAACAAGTTAAATGGAAAGAACATTTCTGGATGAAGGGAGTAATACTTGTATGCTTCAAAAAAATATTAATACTTGTACGGAGTACATTACATGAAGTCTAATTCTATTGGAATCCCAAACGAAATTTTAAGTATTGGCAACTAATTTAATGTTTAATTTTAGTGTTATGAAAAAAACTACTCCCTTCGTCCCAAAGTATTTGTCCACTTTCATTTTTGCACACCATCTAATGCACTTCTTTATTCTATTTTATCTTGTAATTTGTATATTAAAAAATTATAGAAATTATATATTAATAATCTATATGTTAAAACAAATCAAACAAGATCACACATGACTATATTTAGGCTTACACATTGAGAGAATTTGATGAGTCAAATTACTTAGATGAACAGTTCCAAAAGTCAAAAGTGGACAAATATAGCGGGACGGAGGTAGTAATACGGAGTAAATGTTAGCATTTTGTTTAAATGTTTTTATAATAAACAAAATGATCTACAATAATCTTATTTTTTTACGTTTTTCAAAAATAATCTCATATTTTCTTATGTAGATGAGTTTTAAGTCGCCGTTAATAAGTTAACGGCTACTTAATGGAAGTTTTAGAAAATACATGTTTTTCGCAAATAAATGAAAGGTCGAATTATCTTACACAAGATTACTTTTTTTTGTTTTTTAATTTTAAGTTTAAATTTTATCTTTTAAAAAACAATAGACTCTTGTTAGCTCAATTTTTTTTAAAAAAAAATATAACAATTTACAAAATTTGTATTTTGCTCTCGGGGAAATATAATATTGGAAATATAATATTGGATTATCAAAAAATAATTTAGAGTATCGATCGAGAAAGAAATTTTAAAAAAAAGTTGTAGTGAATTACAAAAATAAATAGTGTTGTTATGGAGAAAAAAATATCGTGTCATTTTCATAACTTTTGAATTGTTACCTTGGGGAAATTTTTTTTATTGAATTATATATCGAGAAAAATCACGAGTTTTGTAGTGCCATTTTAGAAAAAAAATAATACGTGTAATAGAAAATTATCGATAAATATTTTGGAGTGTTGTAAATGAAAAAAAATTACAATACAACAAAAAAATGTAGTGTGTTATAAAATATTTGTAATACAAGTATACAACTATTGTAATGTTGTTTTGTAAAAATAATAGTGTAGTATTAAAAAAGAATTTGAAGTACCACACAAGAAAATAATTCCAACTTACAAAAAATAAGGGAGTTTGGAGTAAATAAATTAGTTCCATTGTATAGAATAATTTGTTGTGCAATTTTACAACTTTTAAAATATTATTTTGGTAAAAAATGTTATTGCCAGATTATTGATTATTGAAAAAAATAATTAATGTCATTCCAAAAAAACACTTAAATTTTTTATTATTTATAAAAACATTTTAAAAAAATACATTTAAATTTAAATTAGAATTTAAAAATGAAAAAAGAGATTTTGCCTAAATTAATCCTACATTTCATTTATTTGCGAGAAACAAATATTTTTTTAAAAATTTTGTTGAGTAACTGTAAACGTCATAACGACGACCCAAAACTCACTCACATGAGTAAAGGCGGAATTATTTTCCATGGTAGTGAAAAATGAATCATCTTTAGAAAAGCGCAAGAATGAGGGATTATTTGAGATAAATTTCCTTTTAAAATTTATATATATCATTAGAAGAGTATTTGAAATTCTTCTGCTAATTGAAATTATTATTTTCAAACAAAGTCATATCATTTCAGTCCAACGTCAAAATATCTGATATATTAAATGTGTTGTAGACCAGTAGTCTAATCAATCTCATTCCAAGTTTATTATCCGTGTCATGCCTAGTATGAGAGAACGTGATTCGTCAAACAGAGGGACGACTTTAAAAGTGTGCACTCACACAAGATCTCCAGATTGGTAAGGACCGACATTTTTATTCTAATTATTTGATATTTTTAAAGTTGGTTTTTTAATGTAAAATATGTGTTTTAATAATCAAGATGTTATAAAATAGGTTATTAAAAATCAAATTTAGTACTAATTTTAAAACAAAAGTACTCCACCCAAAACCAAATATCATTGAATTATCACAATAGATTCAAAAAAGTTACAAATAACAAAAAGAACTTGTTTGATGATAAGTTACCCGTTTTCTTAAAGTAGACTTTCTACAAACAAAACAGCTTCACTCAAACTCTAAAAAATTTCATGATAAATATTGTGAGTATCTTTCATATAACACGTACGAAAGAATGTGAATGATTACTAACCACAACCCCAACAAGAGCCACTTGTGTTTTCTTATACATGGCAAACTTATATTATGTTCATTTGAAAAAGGGTCTCTACAAATTCTGGGTCTAAAAGTAAACCGCTACACATGTATATTTTGGGTTCCCAATTAAAATTTAGGACTCCATCAAACATAAAACCCTACATTTAAAGTAAAGAGAGAAAAACATGTCACCTTTCATTTGGTATATAAATTTTTGAAGTTAGCGTTGATTTTACTTGTCGTGACGTCAAGTGTTAAAGGTTACTTCGTGGCAATGAGTCACGCAAACGTCATGAAGACCTATTTGCAAAATCTAATTGGTGATGAATTCTGAAATGATTATTTAGTTTCTTATGTTGAAAAAATAAGTTTGAAATAGTTTCAAATGAAACTATAATAGTCAAAAGATAAAATCTTGTCAAAGACAATTGTAGAAATTACTATTATTGTGGATAATACTAGAATTGTTATGTACTCTCTTCGGCCCTATTCAAATCATTTGTTTCACGTTATGATTTTTGACTGATGTTATTTTCAAATTAAATTATTAGAAATATAAGATGAAATTTAAAAACTAAAATTTATATATTTAAAAATTACATCCAAAATTCTACGAAATAGTATGTGACAAAAATATATGTAGTACTATTTTATCAAATGGGTAACGAAAATAAATAAAGTAAAATAAAATTTGACTATGCAAATAGTAAACATGAAATTTAATTTGAATAAAAAAGGAACAACTTTATGAATTTTAATATTTTTAATTTGTATTGGTATTTTGCTTTATTGACACATCAAGAATTTAATTGGTATCTCCAACTCTTCAATTTTTTGGTCCTAAATACAGTATGCCTAAGCAGTCTGCATCATGTTTTCTTGTGGATGCTTATGATAGAGACAATCCCTATCACTCCTCATCTGATTTGATTGGGTCTAATCTGATTTTATTAAAGTCTGATGTGATCTAATGTGATTGTATTTAAATTTAAAACTATTTCTAATATGATCTGATAAAACAAGTAATAAGAATAAGTTGAAGATAACATAGAGATAATCCAACATGAATACCTTACCTCTGATAAGATAAATGTGTAGTTATGTACAACTTTGATGAACATTGGATTGTACTATTACACAAAATCTAGATTACACATAAATATGTACAACTTTGATGGGAAATGTAAATGATAAAACCTTTAGAAGCAGTAATAAGTGGCACAATTTCTCCCCTGGTATGTAAATATATGTATATCATTTTTCTGTTGTACTGTGTTAAGTTCTTAAAAGCTGGTTCTCCCTGTTAACTGTTGGGGAATGTGTTAGGCTAAAAGGGGTTCTGTTAAAGGCTTCCTCAATGGGACTGTGTGGAGTTTCATTGAGCAGGTGACTATCACACCCAAAAGGGCACACATTGCTGGAACCAGACCGACGGCATACCGTGTTAAGGAGAAACATGTGTGAGCCGGATTACACTTGCCCAGCGCCGGTGTAGTCTCTGCATTGTGTTGTGAAAACAGTGACAAGTTGAGTACTCTCTCCGTTTCATATTAACTGTCCACTGTGACTTTCTTGATACATTCAAAAATGGATGAATGTAGGCATACATCATGTCTACATTCATTCATTGTTCAATGTACATGCACTAGACCCAAAGCATAGAAAATAAGAAAACAGATGCACAAACTACAAACTTAGGCAATAAAACCCAAAGGTCTAGGCAACTAGTATAATATTAGGTCACACATCTAAGGCCATGAAATGTCTAATTATCTTATCTCAATTCTTCCTTTGCCTACCCATCTCTCCTCAAACTCTCCCCTGCTAATCGCTCACATCTACTGAGAGGAGTTCAGGGTTCCTTTTAATGACGTAGTAAAGCACAAGAAGACGAAAAAAGGAAACGAATGAATGACAAGAAGTTTACTCTGATATGACTCGAGAATGAACAGTGCCAGTCCACATGACATTTTGTCCATGAAGCTCAACGACCCGTATACAAAAGCACAGCCATCAAGATCTTCACCAACCAGAAAGCTTTGCATGCCTGTACCAGTTACCTGTTACGCCGTATAGAGTAAGTGGAGCATACACTCAAATTACATACATACAAAATCACATACATGCATGTGCACATACCATCATCAGGGCATTCGCAACGCCGATCACGATTGAGAGGATGTACATAGTACTATTCATACTACTGGGTAGAAGCAGTATGCCTATGCCACTAAATATCCATAGCAGGCCTCCTGCACTATAAAAGGCTTTTATCCGTTGGCTAGTCCAGTTTAGTTCCTACATTTAGAAGAATGTCATCAATGTTCAAAGAAAAATAATACGGAGTCATAATAAAGGAAAGTGAATTGAATTACAACCTGTAGCATGATAGAAA